GGGGGGGGGGGGGAGCTGGAGGTTCTGTGGAGTTTTGTTGGCTGAGGCGTGATCATTATGAACTGAAGTGTGTACACGTATATATGTGTGTGTGTGTGTATGGTTATGGCTGTGTGTGTGTACCTGTGTGTGCATGGCTGTGTGTGCGTGATATCGTGTCGTGTGTGCGTGGGCTGATGATGTGGTGTGTGCGGTTGAAGAAGCAGCAGGTTGCAGTGTACACTCAGCAATCAAGACGGCATGGCGAAATGGTAGCCGCGATCGCTTGCTAAGCGTTTGCCCGAGAGGGCGTGCAGGTTCGAGTCCTGTTGCCGTCGATTCAGCGTTGTGCCCTTGGGCGCGATGTGCTTCTTTTTTGCATCGATGGTGAGCCTCGCAGAGAGCGGCGGGCCTCGCGATGACCTTTGTTGTTTGGGGCTGATTGTGGGACTTTACAGGCAAGACATATTTGAAAAGTAGTGGAGATACGAGGGTCACTGCAGATGGATATTTAAGGCGGTATGTGTAATAGGGAAGCGGGGAGGGCGGCGGGAGGGTGGCGGAGGCGGCAAAAAAAGATGACCATAACATCGAAGCTAATGGCTGCGACGGCAGTGCTGTGATGGATGCAAACGTGCAAGAGGAGGGATTCGAACCCTCGAAGCGAAACGCACATGACCTTGAAACATGCCCCTTTGACCACTCGGGAACTCTTGCTTATCTATCCCTCCCATACACACCGCCCGCCTTTCTACCACCCACCCGATGCAAGCGCTTTTTTCTCCCTCAGCACACCTTTTCCCCGCAGCGCTCTACCACCGCCCACGCGCCTCCCGCTCACCTCCATCTCCCTACTATCGCCCCACACTCACTCTGTACATACACGACATACTCTCGAAGTACCACTCTCTAGCATCACACCCTCCGCTACGGCCACACGGCCATCCTCCCTCGTCCTCCCAACGGCGGACCCCATGCAAAACGCCTCTGCGCCCAATCGGGGTCTCCCGACCAACTCCGCCCAAATGGGGAGAGTGGCCGGAATGAACAAAAGCAACAACAAATAATCGTTCATCCCCCCCATTCCGCCATAACCATTCGCTCCCCCCAAACCCGTCAGTCAACCAACCGACCGACTCAACCGACGGACGGACGGACCGACAGACCGACTCGAGCTTGACCGAGACCGTTGCTACTCAAAGTCGACGCTCTCACATTTCTTTTCTACTCTCTCTTCATACATACACATTCTCAAGTACCAATGCAGGCTATCAAGTGTGTTGTGGTCGGTGACGGAGCCGTCGGTAAGACGTGCCTCCTCATCTCGTACACCACCAATGCCTTCCCAGGTGAGTAGTACGTTTATTATTGATCCATTTTCTTCCATTAATTGATCGTTGCCCTTGTTCGTCGCTCGTTCGTCGGTCGCTCGTCGGTCGCTCGTCGGTCGCTCGTCGGTCGCTCGTCGGTCGCTCGTCGGTCGTCGGTCGGTCGCGGGTCGCTCGTAGGCGTCGTCGTGGTCACCACGATCCATCATCACGATCACGTCGTGGTCACCACGATCCATCATCACGATCACCACGATCCATCATCACGATCACCACGATCCCTCACCACGATCCCTCATCACGATCACCACGATCCCTCACCACGATCCCTCATCATCCCTCACCACGATCCCTCATCACGATCACCACGATCCCTCATCACGATCACCACTCACCTCCTCCTCCTCCTCCTCCTCGCCCTCGCCCCTTTTCGCACAACAGCATCCCCACGGTGTTCGACAACTACTCGGCTAACGTGATGGTCGATGGCAAGCCGATCAACCTCGGCCTGTGGGATACCGCCGGTCAGGAGGATTACGACCGCCTGCGTCCGCTGTCGTACCCGCAGACGGACGTCTTCCTCATCTGCTTCTCGCTCATCTCGCCGGCTTCGTTCGAGAACGTCCGCGCCAAGTGGTACCCGGAGATCTCGCACCACTGCCCGTCGGCGCCGGTCATCCTTGTCGGCACCAAGGTCGATCTGCGCGAGGACAAGGAGACGCTCGAGCGCCTCCGCGAGAAGCAGCTCTCGCCCATCACCTACCAGCAGGGACTGCAGATGGCCAAGGAGATCTCGGCCGTCAAGTACCTCGAGTGCTCGGCCCTCACCCAGAAGGGCCTCAAGAACGTCTTTGACGAGGCTATCCGCGCTGTTCTCTCGCCGGCCGCGCCCAAGAAGGCCAAGAAGAAGTGCACCCTTCTCTAAGCCGCTCGGCGCTACACCCTCTCCATCCCAGTACACACACACACACACACTCTCTCTCTCTATCTCTCTGTTCGCGCAGACATCACACATACATCGCGCCGCACACACGATGGCTTCACTTGCCCAACAGCGGGCGGGCTTCGGCAGCCGAGCGCATGGCACGGGCTTGGTGCCATCTGACAGCGTACGCTCCGGCAAAGACAAACTGGGCGCCGATGCCGACGGCCATGGCCTCGGTGGTCGAGGTGGCGAGGAGGATACCGGCGACGCCAAGGAGTGGGAGGCAGAAGACAAAGCAGACGAGGAGGCCGCCGGGAATGCGCATCTCGCGCGGCGTCTCCGGCTCGTTGATCCGCAGCGCGATGAGCGACGCGTACTCAAAGCCGAGATTGACGAGCCGAAAGTAGAGGTACGACTCGACGACGATCTGGAAGGGCGCGAGGGCGACGACGAGGGCGGCGAGGGCAGTGGCCATGATGGCGACTAGCGGGCGGACGACGCCTGATCGCGAGCGGTACGAGTACGAGAGCAGGCGCGGGAGGAGCCGGTGCCGCGGATCATCGGCCAGCGCCGTCGCCCACACCACTCGAGCATTGGGCACGAGCGCCGAGTTGAGCTGGCCAAAGACTGAGGCGAGCGAGGTGACGACCATGACCACGCCGCAGCCACGCGAGACGGCGTAGCCGACGTTGACAAACCCTCCCTGGTTCCACGTCGCCAGGCTCGGCGCGATCGAGTACGAGAGCATGATCGGGATGGCGTAGTTGACGAGGGTGATCGGGATGGAGCCGATGACGCCGAGGAGAAAGGCTCGCTTCCCGCCCACAATCTCGCCTGCGGCCGAGCCCGACGAGTCGTAGCCGTCGGCGGCCCAGAGGATGGTGGAGAGGAAGACCGACCAGTTGATCTCGCTCACGGGCGGGATCGTCGTCAGCGACTTGCGGATCCCACTCGACTCGCCGGCGCCGGTATGGTAGGCGTAGACGGCGATGGCTACAAACGGCACAAAGAGCAGTGGGAGGATAATGAGGTTGAGCTCGGCGACAGCCGTCGGCCGGTAGAGGTTGATGGCGAGGCAGAGGGCAACAAAACCGGCCATGAGCCACGCGCCCTGCGCAAAGTTGAGCTCCACCGACGTCGGCAGGTACTGGACAACAAGCTGGATGAGGAGCGCGTTGGAGATAAGCGCCATCACCATGTTGTTGTACCCGTTGAGCGCCGATGCCGCCGGGCCAAACGCCCGCTGGACCCACTTGAAGTTGCCGCCGTTGTCCGGGATCATCACCGCCAGCTCGGCCGAGATCAGCGCTTGCGGCAGGCCCCAGAAGATGCCCACAGAGATGAGGCCGAGCATGGTGACAAGCGGGCCGGCAGCGCCTACCGCAGGCTCGATACCAAACGGCCCGCCGCACGTCCAGAAGAAGCACAGCAGGAGCAGATGGTACCACCGGATGGTCCGGGCCATGCCGCCGGTCGCGGCCTCGGCATCGCCTCCGCTGCCGGACTGAGCCATCACTGCTCCGCTCCGCGTCCGCGCCAGCATCAGCGCCTTTTCCATCGAAATTGCCTCGCCCTGACTTTCGCCCTCGATCTCGCCCTGGATCGATCCGCCTCTACAGAGACCATCACCAACGTAGGCGACGCCGACGCCGACGCCGATGCTGCCTTGCGGCGAGCTGCCCAGCCAACCACATCACACGAGGCAATCAGATCAGGAGAGAGGAGCGAGTCAGGCGAGGCGAGCGGGCCGGGCGAAAGGAGCCGAGACGCCGATGCCGATGCCGATGCCGTTGCCGATGCCGATGCCGATGCCGATGCGGGAGGTGAGGCGGCGGTTGCGAGATCCGAAGCGAGATCCGAGTACTCGACGAGGGATGGAAGGAGAACTGTGGATGGAAGAGATGGCTCTGAGAGGAGCGACGAGGAGAGGATGACGGCCTCAGGAATGGAAGTGACCGATTGGATGTGATCAGGAACAATGAGATCGACTTTGCCCAGTTCGCCGACGGGGACCGAGGGAATGACCACCGACGATGCCGTTGCTTGGCCCGTACGAAAGTGGAGCACACCATACTCATTCTCTTCCGCCATGATATCGCCTCTCAGTAGACAATGTCCCCACCGCCTGCTACACACTTGCTTGCCTCTACCACCTTGACTCGCCTCTGTCCTCCTTCTACGTCTTCGTGCTCTCCGACTCGCTCGCCGTCTTTGCTCAAATGCCACTGCCGCCGCAGACACGTATTGCCAACCTCGGTCTTATCAAGCAATGACGAGGGACAATGCTGGACGGGGAATGTCCAGCGAGTGGCATCGATTATTTGAACAACAGATAATCGTAGTTTAGATTATTTGAACAACAGGTAATCTTTGTTTCGATTATTTGAACAACAGGTAATCGTTGTTTCGATTATTTTAACAACAGGTAATCGTTGTTTCGATTATTTGAACAACAGATAATCGTTGCTTCGATTATTTGAACAACAGATAATCGTTGTCGGCCTTTGAAGGCCGTTGCTGGCTCGATGGCTCATCGCTGGCCATGGCAAGTCACAATGTCTAGTATCCCTTTAGTGCGGCGTACTTAGCACTGAAGCGCATCATCTCGTCGTGGTCGATTGTGTTCGAGCGGCATCACAAGGTCGGCACCCTCTCTTTGCCGCCCGACAGAATCGTTGATCAACAAAGTCCGTTTCAACTCTGCTGTCCCCACATCCCTTCCATCCACTGTACTCCTTGTCCACACTGTCCGCCGCGGCCATGCCCTCGCCCTTGCCGTCCTTGGCTCGTCCATTTCTGGCGAGGCTGCACTTGACGCCGCTGTTGAGGACGCTCGAGACGTGCACGATTCCGGCAGAAGACAAATCTAAAAACTACACTCATCCTGACCTCCTCCCCCTCCACTCCTCCCTCCTCCTCCCCCCCCCACCCCCTCATCCCCTCGTCATCCCCTCGTCATTCCCTCTTCACCCCATCCAAACCGTTAGCCTACTTTACCTCCCTCTCTCTCACCCCTATCACCCCCCTCCCCCCTTCCCCATGCCCCACCTCTGACACCCAAGCGACAAAATTCTCCCCCTGCCAAACGCCCCCCAAATCCCCACCGAACACTCTCACGCCAATGTGCAAGGAGCAACTGTGCCGCAACCACTTTGCCAATACCCGCTGCCTGCCACCCCCCACCGACCCAT